CCCGAATGGCCCGGCGGTCCCCCCCGGGGCGGGGGGGGCCAGCGGCAGGCGGTGCCGTCCCCACCGCTGAACTTCGGCGCAGGGCTGCAGGCGGGGCCGGAGCAGCCGGAGGCACCCGGAGCGTTGGCCGCAGAGCCCCTGGAGATGCCGGGGCTTGGGGACGCCCTGGCGAGCGGTGGAGAACCGGAGAAGACCCCACCTCCCATCGCAGCCTTGGCTGAGTATCGGGGGGGGAGCCGGCAGGATCCGGGCGCGCCCCGAGGCCGGGTGATGGACGGCGTTGGTTCGTAGCGGGATTCATCCTCCAGTTCTTGCCGCAGGAGGGACCAGAGAGCAGGAGAGGACCCACGGGGCAAGACGAAGCGACGCCGGACCCCGGGGCGTGTGCCAGCAGCACGTCCAGGTGCCAAAAATACAAGGGATGGGCAAGGACCGGCGCTTCCCGGGGGAAATCCCAGCTTTTCCGCCAAAACCCAGCCTTCCCTGGAGCTCGCAGCAGCGTTGCCGCAGGCGGAGAGCCTCGCGCCCGGCTCCCTCGCTGCGAGGAGGGAGCGTGAGGTTGCCAAAGTCCTCGGCAGGATCCTCAATAAAGACTTATTTTGTATAAAAGTGGGTTTCCCCGCTTGCGGCGGCCACCTCTGCGCCGAGTTTCTATGAAGAACAGCGGTAGAAAAGGGCGATTTCCCTGAGTGCGGCCTGCCCAGGCCACAGGTTGTATTTCGCACAATAAAAAAAGGGCGATTGCGGTCGGGAAGGCAACGGTAGGTGGAGGAGAGCGAGGCTGTATCGGTTTTGGCCTCGGATAACGGGTGTTATTTGATCCGGCGATGGTTCCCCAAGTCCTATAAACACCACTTGCCTTTTATTGAGCCTTTTGGGAAAGGACTGTAATATTTACGCAGCCTTGAAGGTTGCCCGCTCAACAGGGTTTATCGGGGGGAAAAAAAATCACCCCCCTGCAAGCGGAGGCCAGAAGACGGTTTTGACACAGATAAAGGGGCTGCGGGGAGGACGGAATCGCGCCCGTGGGAATCGGGATGAGCCGGAGCGCGGCCCCGTATCCAAACCGCGCCGCCGGTTATCGGCTTAGAGAAACCGGCCACGAAGGAATTGACCCAAAAACGGGGCTGCGAGGGCTCCGAGAGCTCCCAGACCAGGGATAAATATCGCAGAGCATCTCTGCACCATCACTACCCCCTCTTGGGGGCATCTGCTTTCCTGCTGCGCGATATTTTCCTTCTCAGAGCAGAACTGGGGGGATTTTCTGGGCTGGGGGGGGGGAACGGGCACCCCAATTTCCCCCCAGCACGGGGCAGCAGCACCCCTCGTGCTCCCGCTCCTTCCCCGTGCGCACGCGGCTGCTGCCTGCAGCAAGGCTGCGTCCCCTCACAGAGGGGCTGCCACCCACCCCCAAAAAAGAGGGGTTTTCACCCCAAAAAGGGCTTTTTTTCACCCCAAAGAAGGGCTTGATGCTGCCAGGTGCTGAGCACCGGCAGGGCCATGGGGAGCAAGCAGGACCCCCCCTTTCACCATGCAAGCCCCTACCATCGCTCCCCCAAACCCAGGGTCCCTCTCTCCCCTTATTCTGCCTCCCCAAGGGTTTCGTTTAGAGGCTTTAAATATTATTTTATTCCTTTTCTAGCAGCTCTCAAAGAAAACGGAGCTGTTGCCTCATTGCTTTCTGACTAAAGAGTTAAAATACATCTCTATATACGCAAGGAAAAGGTCTTAAACCCGCTTCTTTGGGCATTTAAAGTTAATTTACCCTCTGCAGGGACCCCGAAACTCTGCCGAGCCCCCCGAGCGCCAAGGAGAGGCGTCACCTCGGAGGAGAGGGGGGCTCAGCAGCAGCGGCATCGCCACAGGCCCAAGCCTGGCCCCGGAGAGCGGCTTTTCCTTCCGCTGCCGGCACCGACAAACATCGGATGGTTGGGTTTTAGGGGGTTTGGGGGTTTTGTGGTTTTTTGTTTTGTTTTTTTTTTTTTTTTTTTTTTTTTTTTTGCACAGCAACTTTTATTTCCCCACTAAACAGAGTGACAGGGCAAAGAGACATAACAGCATCGCGGGATCACACGAGGGCGGGCAGGGGTTTATAAGCACGCGCGAGATCACACCTAGAACAAGGCTTCCCCCTCCTTCCCCACGACACGGCCTGGGTTTCCATCACCCCACATCCGCAAAGCCAGCCCCAAAAATCTGCGACGCCGAGCGCGCCCGAGAGACTCCATGATTTGCGACACGTCCGTGGCTCTCTCCCTACAGCTACGCCCCTGCCAGCTTTTGGGTTGACCCCAAAATCGTGTGTGTCCCCCTCCCCCCCCCCGGCTCAGACTGCCTCGCTCCCCGGGGCTGCGGCTCCCAGCGCTCGGCTCTACGGCTGCACGGCGTTAACGGGGGGGAAGCGGCGAGGGAGATGGCGGGGTTTTGCTCTCTTAGCTCTAGCGGCAGCGAAAAGACGGGCTCGGCCCCTTCCCAAGGAGGAAAGGAAAGCGAGGATGGGGTGGGGGGAAAGCTAAAAGGTGACCTGCAGAGCAATGGTCTCAGAAATCGGAGGGGGTACAGTACCTCTCCTCCTCACGCAGGTTTTCTAGCCCTCGAGAGCTTCCCGGGGTGCACAAAAGCAGGCGGCTTTGGCTACGGATCAATGCAGGATGCGATAAACCCCTAAGGTAGCTTCTCTCCCTGGTTACGTCCCTGTTTTCATGGGGCAGCCAACTTCGAACAGAACAAAAACAAAAACATGGGGTTGCTTTTACAGCAGAGGCGGGGGGAAATAACCCCACGTCGAGGCTTTTTAAGCAGTCACCCTCAATGGTCGATGCCCCAGAGGAAGGTTTTCAGGGTAAAGAGACCCAAAACTTTTAAACGCGACAAGAAAAAGTTAACCCCAAAGCCGAACAAGGGATAATCATGAGTTTCGGGGTCCTCTGTCTGAAAGCAAGGGGAAAAGGGGGACAGGAGGGGGCACTACTTGCAGGTCACCTTGGGGAGGGATAAAGAAACCGGACGGGGTCAATTGCAGAGGGAGAGCGAGGAGCCCACGTAGAAGAGCCAGAAGAAAGGAAAGATCTTTTCGGTGAAAGCGGCCGTGAAGGTGAAGATGGGAGCCATGTTATCGGCGTTGTAAAACGCCACCCACCCACCTTCGTAGTCCAGGTACACCCCGATCTTCCTGGGCCTCTCGCACAGGGACAGGGGCGTCTCCGGGGAGGTGAAAGCCTGATACTGATCCCAATTCTTCCCCTTCCAGTTCAACCCCACCGCCCAGATCCCCTCCTCCGGAGCAAAGTCGATTTTCTCCTTCCTCCGCACCGACTCGCGGGCCGCCCCCAGGACCCAGCTCTCTCCGTCTCCCACCTCCACCTCCCAGTAATGCCTCCCAGCTATGAAACCCTCCGCCGCCAGCACGCAAAAGGAATAATCGAATCTTTTGGGGTTTGCCGGCAGCTCCTGGGGAGCGCTCCTGAGCCGCACGCTCCTCTTGTCCTCCGACAGCACCAGGTAGGGGTTGGCAGTGTCCGGGTCCAGAGAGAGATCACCTGGGAAGAGGGAAGCATGGATGTGAGCGTCTGCAAGCTAAGGACCCTTCTCCCACCCTGGTCGGAGCTGCCCTCCGAGGGGATTCATCGTCTCTGCCCCAGACCAGGCAAGGACGACGCCAGACGAGTCGCTTCCCAAAGTTTTAAGCGCCCAAAGTGCAAAGAGCCGCAGGGGAACCAAGATCAGGCTCCGCTTTCTAATTAAAGCGGAGAAACAGCCAGATCTCTGCTGCCAACCCCCCGGCCTGCCCCACCCGAGACACCTCCGTCCTCGGGAATAGAAACTTCTGGGCAGAAATAACTTTTTTTTTTAGTCACTGCCAAGCGCCGGAGAGCAGCGAGCACAAATATCCTCGTGTCTAAGAGCTGCTCTTGTCCTCGGGGGACTGCCAGGAACTAGGGCTGCACGGCCTGAAAACGACTGTGAGAGGGGAATATCAGAGACTGCGGAAAGCGAGGGGCCTGTCCTGCACCCAGCCAAGGAGACGGAGCCCAGCGACGGCCCTGAGCTACCAGCAGCAAACGCAAGAGGTTGCAAAGTCCATCTCTGAGCTAACTCAGCACCCGCCGGCGGGGCCAAAGGTCTCCTCGCTCCGGGTAGAGTGGATCAGCTTCTGGAGAGTCCTCTTAACCCCACGGTTTCCTAACAAATTCAACGGTTGCCCCTTTTGTGGACTCACCCAGCAGCTGCATCGGTTTTTCCCCCCTTCCTTTGGCAGCACCAGCAGTAATTTTCTCCTCTCCTGACCTCCAAAGCTAGCTTGAAGGTCTCACCGCCGACATACCCCCCCCCCGGGGAAGCTGAAACGCTCAAATTAAGCCCTGCAAAAATGAAGGTCAGGCTCCCAAAACCAAACCAGGCTCACCTGTGTCATTCTCCAGCTCGAACCGGAGGTTCTCTGAGGGAAGAAAAGGAAGAAATTTAGACCCCTTCGGTCACGGGGCGTCCCCGGGGACTGCCTACGCGCACGCGACCTTGCTCCCTGCCTTACGGCAAACCACCGCACGCTGCTGCTTGGGAACGACCGCGTACGGCTGCATCGGACTTCCACGCAGAAATCCACGCAAATGCGCTGCTTTTCAAGCAAACGGGGCTTTATATTTTTGATGAGCAGATGCTCAAACAATAAAGAGTTCTCCCAACAAGCCCAAGGGAGAAACAAGAGCACAGCTCAAAGCAAATCACCTTTTAAGGCGAATTTCATCTTTCTTTTAAGGCGAATTAAACGTAGGGGTTAGGAGACACCAACTTTTAAAGAAAACCTTTTTCAGCGCTCACCCTTGAACTCCAGCAAGACCTCTTTCAGCACTGCGCTCTTCTGGGAAAAGCTCTTGAGTTTCTTCTCCAGCTCCGTGAAGCCAGCCTCCGGCTTGCAAAACATCCAGCTCTCAAAGCTGGGGAGGAGAAATAAGTATTAGTTTCCCCTCTGGAAAAAAATAAAATAAAATAAAATCTCCAAACGAGAGGCAGGAAAGAAACCTGCCCTGGTACTGAAGAAGTTTGGCATTGGATTATTCTCCCTCTGTCAGCGCTTGTGAGGCCACACCTGAGGACTGGGTCCAGTTTGGAGCTGCCCAGTACGAGGCACACAGGAGGCCACTGGGACAGAGATGTGGGGGGATCTCCACACCTTGGTGGGGGCCCAGCCCTGAGCAGCCTGATCCGGCTTTTGCTACTGGTCCTGACGGTGTGGGTTTGGTCCCTCACCAACCGAGCCCCGCCGCGGTTTCCTCTGGAAGGACGCTCCAGCCCCCCCGCAACCCGCCGGCTGCAAAGCCCCGCCGCGACGGTGTGGTTTTTGCCTCAAAGGTAACACCCGGGCGCGGGCGAGAACCACGAGGCAGGCGGGGCGGGAGCCGGACGGGGCGTACGCCCTCGCAACGCCAGCTCTGCCTCCGGTGTGAGCCTCCCAGTTAACCCAGCAAGGGCCCAGGTTCACTCACCTGCTTCCAGCTGGGACAACACCCTGAAGAGAGAGAAAAAAAAACCCGAGAATCAGTACGAGTCTCTCTTCTACCTCACAGCCTCCAAAATCCTCCCCAAAAGCGGCCCCACGGCTGCTCTGCTAAGGGGGATCAGCTCTCAGCAGCTGTTTCCAAAGCAGAGCGCAACTGGACTCACGGAGATGGCAGAATTGTAATGATAGGGTTTTTTTCTTCCCCTTTTTCTTTTTTTAGTGTGGGTGGGGAAAAAAAAAACAACATGCTTTTTTAAAGAAATTAAGAAAAATCATGACTGCCATCAAGCTGCCAAAACCATGAGGATTCAGGGCTCACAGTGACGATGGAATGACACAAACCAAAAATGTTTGTTTGGGTATTTCTTAGTTCTTGGTATCAAAGGGAGCCCAAGCAGCTTCACTACTAAAAGGGCCAATTTTACCCCCAAAAACTGTGCTAAAAGTTGGGTTCCCACCTGAAAAAGCAGCCCAGCAGCAAGTCAAAACCCCTGACTCAGAGACGGGCCAGCTCCAGCGTGGAGTTAATGGACCGAGCTGTTCCCCAGCAGAACCCGTCAGCACCCTGCGGTCCCTCTAAATGGATTTTTGTCCCCAGGGATCCCAACCTCGAGCTCTCCTGGGTTTTACACCCTGCTATGCCATAACCTCCGGGCTGGAAGGACACATCCCAGGAGTCTCACCTGCCCAGACTGGTTTCCTGGGCCATTCTCTCCTCCCTGCTCGCCCAGCAGCTTATCAAGCTGGGCAATCTCCTCAGAGAGCCGGGAGACGCTCTCATCTCTTCTCTTGACGATGTCTCTGTCGAGCTCCTCCAGACGGGACAGCAGGAGCTGCTCCTTCTCCTCCAGGAAGCCCCGGAGCTCCTTGCACTCGGCCACAATCTTCTGCCTCTCCACTTCTGTCTGCTTCTGCAAAACCCAGAGGGGGAACCCACGTGAGACCGACATCCCCGCGGCCGGGGGGGTTTTGGGGAACCCCCCACCCCGAGGCACTCACCAGCAAGTCTTCGCTCTGCCTCTCCCTCTCAGCCTTGGCTTCCTCACGCCCTTTCCTCAGGGAGCTCAAATGCTCCTGTGGCACCTCCTGGAAGGAGAAAGAGGAGATCTGTTGGGAATCTTTCCTCTTTGGGATCAGGAATACGGAGGAAAGGGATGGTGGGGGATTCCCTCCAATTTCATCAACTGTGTTTATTTTTTTTTTTTAAGCTGGAGAACACCACGAACCCAAAAAGAGGTGAGGCCATCACCGCACTGTGTCCTCCCCTGCCCTGTTATCCTCAACCCTTAGTTTCGGGCATGCCAAGAAAGCCCAAAACTTTCCCCAACCAGCCCAAAAACTGTCCCCTAAAACAGCCTGAGCAGTTCGGAGCCAGGGGCAGGAGGAAGAAGAAAGAGGAGCAAGGCAAAAAAAAAAAAATTAGAGCCAATTTTTAGCTCCCTGTAAGAGCGCAGCTGCAAACGCAAACCACTAAGTCCCACCCACGTGAAAACCCCTTCCGCCTCAGCGCCTCTCGGGATCAGCTTTCACATCTCAGCCCCGCCACGAGCCGGGGAGACCGGCCGAGGCACCCCGACATCTGCCTGAACCCCACCGAGATGGAGGGGCCAGCCACCTCCAGGCTGCTCCTTAAGTTTATTAACGGCTTATTACTAGAAACCATCGTGCCCGCCCTCATTTAAGTCATTTGACCTCCGAGGAAGATGGAGAAGCTCCTAGCAACACTAAACAAAAAGCAGCAGGGCTTTTGGGAGCAAGCAGCGACGGATCTTTTATAAATAAAATGCAAAGCTACAGAGATTTTGCTGTTGCTAACCGGCTGTGCAAACCGGTGCTTGCTACCACATGCCTCCTGATAATGCAGAATTTAAGCACGAGATAAAAGCAAAAATCGGAAAAATGGGGGCACGGGTTGCAAGCAGCCCCCAAGGGGCAACAACCCGTTGTTAAAAATGCGTAAAAGCAGATTAACGAAGGGGAAAAAAAAAAAAAAACCCACAAGAGAGCAGCAGCCTGAGCAGCGTTCAATGGCGGACCTGCCTAAAGACGCTGCGGTCCTAAAAAAGGACAAGATCCCAAATTTGGGGGTGGGGACGATGCCGCCAACTCGAGCTCTGGCTTCCCACTAAGAGCAGCCGCAGCCACTGAAGATGACAAGGATGGTGCAACCAGGCACCCACCGCAATTTCAGTACAAAATTCAGTATAAAAGCCTTTGGTGCCACCTGCCTCGACACTGATAATTGCAACAATTAATATGCAGCGGTTAACGATCACGCAATCCCCTTCCCCAATCCACCGTGATCGCCCCGGCTGCTGCTCCTCCTCCTCCTCCAGCCGCTGCTGCGCAGTAAACATCCGCTCCCCGTCCGGCATCTTGGTTTTCCTTCACCCCGCCGGAGAAACGAGGCCTGGCTGCTCAGGGTTAGGCCACCGCGCTCACACGCCTCTTAATTATTAATTAATAACTATTTCCACCAGGGAGCCCCCCTGCATCGCAATGTGTGGGTCTCCCCTTCATCACCACGGCGGTTTCGGCAGAGATCAAACACCGCCGAAGTCCGGGCTTCGTTTTTGCTCTGCGTCACGTTGCTCAACCACCTTGTGCGGGAGTCACTCCTGGGGGATTCCTGCTCCACTTTAGCCCCAGATTGTGCTCGGTGCTAAAAAAATAAGCCTCCCCACCCCCAGGAGCCAGGCTCCACGCTCATTCCAGAGCGTTGCTGCCCAGGAAAGCTGAGGATTTTGGGGTGCCTGATGGTATTTTGCACACTCACACCTGCACGGAAGCGATCCCAGGGATTTCCATCCCAGCTCAGCCTTATTTCAGACAGGAGACTAAACTGGCCGACACCCCCCTCCCAGTATCTTCCCAGTTAAACCCAGCTCCATTTTGCACAGGGGACAGTCCCCCATCCTGCCCTACTGCATGGGGTCAGCCCCCACCCCGGGGTGTCCCTATTTCTGGGGCGGATTTGAGTCCCTATTGAACCCCATATCCCGCCCCACTGTATGGAGAAGCACCCACTTTAGAATGGGGTCCCCGGTGAGGCCCCATTCTGCACCCCACACCCTGGGGGGGACACCCCACTACCCTCCCTACACCCAGGTACGTATGAATAGGGGCATACACATCAGTGGGGTGCTCCCTGTTGCACCCCAGGTGCATTGCCTCCCGCGGGGAGGGGGTTCCCCGGTGCACCCCCACCCCGCGGGGTGTCCTTATTGCACCCCCAATTCGGGCTGGGGGGGGGCCTTGCTCCTCTCCCTTCACAAAAAGGGTCCTTATTGCATCCCCCATCCTCCTGCACCCGAGAGGGGCTCCCCAAGGCATCTCCTCATTGCACCCCAACATCCCGGGGGGGCTCCCAGGACTCTCCCTCCTTGGGGGGGGTCCCTACCGCCCCCAAACTGGGCTCCCGCTGCACTGCCGCCCCCGGGAGAGGGGTCCCTACTGCACCCCCATAAACAGGGGAGTCCTTAGGGCACCCCATGTGCTCCCCAGCTCCCGGTGCACCGCCCCCCCCCCCCCCCCCGACCCCCCCGGCCGGGGCCCGCCCCCCGGGGGGGGGCGC